GCCACTTAAGCCCAGGAACCCACATACCGGATTCCCTCATTCCACAAGTCCGAATTAACATCTGAAATTGGTAAAATGTAGGACCTGGTATTCGTTACTTGAATTTCTAGGAGCTTTTAGATTTATATATTTTACGAATAAGGTTATAATGCAACACTCTTCCTAGATCTATCAAATTAGATTTAATGATTGTAATTTGAAAATTAGAGAGTTAATGATCCATATTATAAAAGGGTAACGAGGAAAAAGGAATTTAAGGGACAGGTGATCGGGATTTTTTGGGCACTGATTTCCACGTGTGTTGTTATAACACTTTTCAAAATTTCTACAAAAATTCAATGGACTATATGTCAGTCATTTGACATCGGATTTCAAAATAAATTGCGTAAAAAAATCATATTTGTGTGTGTTTCTACATTATAATATCATCATACGCATTGGTATGAGGGCCCTGTCAGTCTTACCATAGTGGTAGGTTCATTTTATGACAATGGTGAAATAATACTGTGAAAGCTTATCGTAGTGGTATGATGTTGGTATAACAATGATAAGATACTGTAGTCAGTCTTACCTGAAAACTTATAAAGCATACTAGATAGGGATGGCAATGGGTCGGGTTGGGGCGGTTTTGTCAAACCCAAACCCATGGATTTATCCGCCAAAAAAACCCCAGGGTAAAACCCGTTGGTTTTTAAAAACTCAAACCCTACCCAACCCGCTGGGTATCCGCGGGTTCATGGGTACCCGTGGATTTTTCTAGTAAAAAATTTACAATAACAAGTTTCTTTCAAAATAAAAGTTTAACATCAATTTTCTCATACAAATTAATCATACAAAAAACACCAATCTAGAGCATACAAGCAAACCGCAAATGATCAATACAAATTATTCAAAATTAAAGATAAACATCTATAAAAAATAAGATTAATTGAAAGTTTCTTCCTTGTCAACTAAGTTTCTTCATTCTTCACTTCATAATATCAACTTCATTCTAAACAATTAGAAAGAACAAATTATACATGTCTCCACAAACATAAAGAATATTAGTTGTTTAAGGAAGATATATTATTTAGAATATTAAATATACCGTGAAATTAATTTTATTTGTGTGGGCGGGTACCCATGGGGAGGGTTTACCTAAACCCAAACCCGACCCGGTGAATAGTGTAGCGGGTTTAAACCCAAACCCGGCCCAAAACCCGTCAACACGGGTTTTACTCGCGTTGACCGGGTTGGGTCGGGTGGGTACCCGTGGGTTTGGGTTTTGTTGTCATCCCTAATACTAGAACCTCACAACACCACAAAATTTATAAATCTATCAAAAAAACTCAATGCATACCACAACTTTCTTAAATCATACCGAAAATCTCATTAAGTAGACCACAAATTCCATGCAGCGGACCAGAAATCATATAAAACATATCACAAGTTTCATGAAATAGATCAGAAATCTCATACAAAAAATATGTGCAATAAAACCAGAACTTTCATGAAGTGTACCAGAAAGACAAGAAACCACACTAGAAATCTCATGAAGCAATTATAAGTGTTGACAAGTAATATCAAAATTATAATGGTATAAAATAATTTATTTTTACAAGTAACTTGGGATGAATGGAGGTGAGGTGGAAGACGGGAGGGGAAAAAAATGAGAGGATGATGGGGTGAGTAACTACTATGTCATAAAATCGCTAATAATTATATTAGCATTATACTTATACTAAAGGTTGTTAGCACCCTATCCGGTATTATATGGATCACTCTTACTATCTTTGATATCAAACATATTCATATTCATGTATTTTAAAAATTATCAAATATATAATTCTATTAAATTTTCTATAAAAAATTGAACCAACTGCAGTTTGGATGACCTGACCACGAAAAAATATACCATGTACGTTCAATAATTTGTTAAGAACCAATTATTTAATTAAAAGCACAAGTTACTTTTTAATGATGTTTACTGTTCCTTACGGAAAAAACTCCAACCCTCGAGTCCTTCGTCAAACACTGTTCATTACATTTATTGTAGTTTTTTAAACCAAATTATAACCTACATGCGTTGTATGCACAAACATATAATGAATTACACATAAAGGGGTTTCCTATGTAGTATTTTAATTATATGTGATTTTTTTTATTTAATTAAAAGCACAAGTTACTTTTTAATGATGTTTACTGTTCCTTACGGAAAAAACTCCAACCCTCGAGTCCTTCGTCAAACACTGTTCATTACATTTATTGTAGTTTTTAAAACCAAATTATAACCTACATGCGGTTGTATGCACAAACATATAATGAATTACACATAAATGGGTTTCCTACGTAGTATTTTAATTATATGTGATGTTTTTTCTAATTTGATTTTATTATGAGACCGCACATTACAAAATATTTCCGTAACACCGTGCCATAAAAGTTACTTACATTATATTATGTCAAAGTTATGAAAGAATAGCTAATTTTTATGTCTAAATTAAACAAAATGTAATAGGGTGTGACTTTCTTAATGATTTACGTAAAACTTACAGAGAGATAGTAATTTCTTATGTATCAACTAAAACAATATTACGTAAGTCTTTTGTAATATAAGTTTTAATGAAATTTTTAAAATTAACTAAAAGTTCACTATTTTATCACTTTTCATTTCGCAAATGTCCCATACGGTTGGTTTAATCAAATGTGATACTTTTCATAACTTAATTATTAAATTATTAATTAATATTTCACCATCTCATCAATTGCATTAGACAAAGGCTCCATGCGGTAAGTTAACTTCTACATGTTAGTTTACTCCAATATGATGCTATTCATAATTTGATCTTATTATCATACCACACATTAAGGAGTATTTACATAAGACTATGCTATAAAATTATGTAATTATATTAATTCAAACTTATAGAGGGATAGTTATTTCATATGTATCAATTAAAAGAACACAATAGGGTATGACTTTCGTAATGATTAATTCATTACGTAAAACTTATGGTGAGATATCTATTACATAAGTCTTTCGTAGTAAAAGTTTATGATATTTTTTTAGGGTAATGTCTATATTTTATCCAAACCTATTAAAATGCTATTATTTAGCCAAATCTTTCATAATGGATCAAAATATTTAGCCATATTTACGTTATCGTTAACAATTTTGTAACTCTTTTCTTAGTTAACCTTCACGTGTCTCTTCCAAGTCAGTATCATGTTGCCAAGTCAATTTTACTAACAAAATTGCTAACTGAAAGTAAACATTTGGCTAATTTTTAGTATTTCGATAGGTTTGGCTCATAAAAAGAATCCAAAAAAAGTTTGGATGATAAATAGTCATTACCCTATTTATTATTATTATTATTATTAACTAAAAGGCTGATCATCTCATCAATTTTCATTACACAAAGATTCATAAGGTAATTAACTTTTAGATAATAGTTTACTCAACTTTTCTATAATTTTATTTTACTATTAGACCACACATTACGAAAAATTTATGCAACACAATTATATAAAAATTATGTAAATTAAAAATACATTATGTAAAGATTGCAGAGTATCTATATTTGATAATTTAATTAAACAAGCATATAACGTAAGTCTTACCGCTGCGAAGTGTGAGTCAAAAAACTAGTTATTAGTCAATAATTTGAGTATCATTCTATCACAGCTCGTAGTACAAATTATGTGATTCGTGAGTGAGTGATCCTAAGATGGATGGGCCAATTGGAAATTAACGTGTCTTGGTTAGATCAACAACTTGAAGCAAACCAATATATAACGTACATATGAATGAGACTGGAATTTCCACCTACTGTGTGGCTTGTGATCATTCATATATATCCCAAAAGCATGACAGCACTATATTTGTTAACACTCGTCTCGTGATTAATCATATCGCTATCCACAATAATCGAGTTTTATATAATCCTAAATATACCCCATATGTAGCATTATTGATAATTATTGCCTGATTTACATATCCTATCAATTAATTAAATAACCTATACCTACCTAGCTGCTGGAATATATTGGTCCTTTTCTCATTACTGAACGACAAGCATATATATGGGAAAATATAAAGTTTGACAGATCCGAGAGGCAACTCGTCAACTTGATCTCAAGTTGTCGTCGGCCATTTCTCCGGTCTTCAATCGTAATTATTATCTTTTTCATAGGGGAAAACTCGTAATTAGTGGTTTCGAGTTTTGCTATGAATCGGACAGTTGAACCACAATGCATATATGATACTATTCAAAGTAACACCAACGAGACTTCCAAAAATGGGGCGTTCAATAGTTTATCATTGTCCTAGCAGATAGAATACAACTTGTAGCTTCACATCATATTAACGATCTTGAATTTATGTCATCTGTGTTCTAGTATAACGGTGTTTTGGTAGTTTAGGTCCTAATTCGAAAGTTTTGGATTCCATCACTAAATGGTCTTTTTGGCTTTCTTGGACGTTGTAGTGGCAGCCAAATTGATTTTCATCCATTTTATAAATTAAATTAAATTTTGTACATAGTTTTTGATGAGTGTGACACCATTTCATACTTAGCATAATTAGATAGGAGAATCAAGTTCAAATACAAGATACTAAAAATGTAATGTTTATGGTTACTTAATTGATGTTTAACTAAGTCTAGATTTGTCGTATTTTTTATTGAAGTAATTAATTCTTGTGATTTTTTCCATTTCGGGAAGAAAGTGACAGAACGGGTTGATAAAGATAAATTGAATTTATTTAAAATTAATTAACAAGAGAGTGAATAATGGCTTGGTTTAGTAACATTAATAATGAACTGGATATTTCAGATTCAAATTGGTTAAGTAGTAGCTAACTATAAAAACAAATATATGTCACTCTTATAAAAAAAAAACTGCTTATATAAATTCAAAAAAATTAATAAACAAGAGGAAAATGCACAACTATGAATTAAGACACAATCAAAATCCAACATCACCTTCATTAATTTCCCCATACAGAACATTCTTATGAGCACACATTATGAAATCATTTATTCGTACAACAAGATCAAACCCGATATCCACATACATATCGGTCTATAACAGGCTACAGATTACGCATGCATGGAAACAAAGAAAAACGTTACAATTTGAACACATAATTACTTAGACACCAGCATATATAAAAACGGAAGCAAAATGGAGTACAAAAGCACTAAATCGTGCATGCATGGCATGTAGCACGTGTGGACGTAACGTAACTCCTTGCTTAAGGGCACTGGAAGCCAGATGGAACCTTCTGCTTACAGACATTGAGAAGCAGGCTGAGAGAGATGGGAACGTTGAGGTTGATCCCGAGGATGTTGGCCTTAATGGCGGTGCAAAGGCAGAGAGCGGCTTCAAGGTCAACCAGCCCATTGATCAGACTGCAGCACGGTTGAACCGGCGGGTTGCCTACCTTAAGCTTGAGCAAATTGCCTAGCACGTCGGCGCAAACGCCCAACTTGAGTGCATCGATGGGGCACTTGCCGCCGCCGGAGGAAGGAGTGCTGGGGGTGGGAGTTGGCTTAGGTTTAGGGTTCGGTTTGGGAGTAGGGCAGCCGCTGTTGCAGGCAGAAGCCATGGAGAAGAAGAGGAGGTTGAGGGCTAGGAAGAGGGCCATGGCGGAGTTGGTTTGGGAAGCCATTGATGATGTTGTTAAGCGAAGGAATTGGCTTATTGTAGAGTTGGAAAAAAAAAAAAACGAAAGAGCTTGTTTTACTACTTAAGCTAAGTGAAGAAGAGAGAAGAGTGAGTTTTGGTGGTTTGGGAAGGAACCATGGGTAGGGTTTTTATAGGCCAGTCTAAGGGTGTGGGTGGGGGGATTAGTTTGAGGTAGATGGTGATGAGAAATAATTAAAGGGGAATATTAGAAAGGCAATGAAATCATAAAGCATTTGTGGACTTGAGATCATTAGCTTGATTTACTGTAGGTTTGAAGAAAGGAAGGGAGAATTTCAGGGCCAAGTTTTGGAAGTTTGTCGATCGACTAATTAGTACTGTAAATAACAACTTGCCATGCATGTTCCCACCTGCTCTTGTTTGGATCATTTATATAATTATATTGGATAAGGTCCCGTGCCTATAAATATATATGTGCTATTAAGAATTCGCTTCCAATAACTCTAGTTATTGGGAGAAATTTAATTATGAATCATATATTATTTACTAACATATCTCCTGTAACGAAAGTCATCATATATGAGATTCAAGTTTGCGCAAAGTCGAATATCACGTGTTTAACAATTGGGGTAACTAACATTCGAATAGAAGAAATCTCATCATATCAAAAACCAATTAGTTTCAATAACTCGAATTATTAAGAGAGATTCTATCATGAATCATATACAACATACTATCAGATACAAACACACCATTAAATTGATTCTCTTTCTTCTTTCGAAAAACTTAGAAATTTGCTTTATCATTTTTAAGTAAGTGGTGATAGTTACTCCCTAGAAGAAATTTCATGTATCCCAAGGTTTTGTGAAGCGTGAAACTATTTTTTTCGAAAAGTGGATATAATTCACTACTATATCACGATTAGGGGTGGCTATACGGTCCGGTCCGGTTAAATTGGATCAAATTGATCCGGTCCCAGTCGGGTCTTTTCGGGAATATAAGGACCAAAAATTGGATTGGATACACTCCGGTCTTGACCCGGTCCGGTCCCAATTTGATTTTGATTTTAGATTGAGCTTGTGGAGATTTGAGTGTTGGGGTCTCTTATCCGGTCTTTAACCGGGTTTTTTTTACCTCAAATCTAAGCCCGAATATGAGATTGGATTGTTTGCTATCCAGTCCCAGTCTGATCCCGATCCGGGTTATACGGTCCAATTTCGGGTGAAACCAAACAGTCCTGATCAAATTGCCAGCCCTAATCACGATCCCAATCTCTCATTTCGAGCTACTTTGTGCACCCGCATCTTAACAGACCCTACACTAAATTAATTATTCGTCATCGCCAATCAAGTACTCATGTACCAGCTCTAGCTGTTGGTTTGCTGTGTCCTGGACGTTACTTGGTGTATTAAACCGTCACGGGTTACAACTTATTGATTAACCTACTACTCCATCGATTCTATTCTATCCTTGGTACATTTCCGTTGAACAGGAACAAATTATGGGGAAAAATCCCACTGTACACTAGTTATTAAAAAAAATTCCCAAAATACATAAGTTATAAAAAAAATTCCAAAAGTACACATGTTTGAGCATCACCGTTTTAGACAAAGGCGGTGAAGGTTATCACCGCGTTTAATAAACACGGTGAAAATTTCACCGTTTTAAAGTAAAACGGTGATGCCTTCACCGTCTTAGTCTAAAACGGTGAATGCATCACCGTTTTAAACTGAAACGGTGAAGAAATCACCGTTTTAATCAAAAACGGTGAGGACTTCACCGTTTTTGTAGGCCACGGTGAAGTCGCTGACGTGGACAGACACGGGGTATTCACCGCGTTAGACAAACACGGTGAATACCCCGTGTTTGTTTGCGTCAGCGATCCGCGCCAGTGTGCTTTCACCGTGGCCGTTAGATGCGGTGAGGCGCGGATCGTGGTTTTCTTCCCACGATCCGACGCCTCACAGCACGCCACGTCACCTTTGAAGTAACCGTTTTTGGTTAATGCTAGGAGTTCACCGCGTTCCTCAAACGCGGTGAATGCTCCCCTAATAACTGCGCATCAGCTCCTCCCCCCTTCCCCCAACTATAAATACCCCCTTCCCCTTTCACTTTCAACTCACCCCACAAACATTTCACTTCTTTCTCCCTCAATTTATCCGCTCTAGTCTCGTTCTAAGTATGCTCTGTGGTTGCGGCTAAGTCCGATCTTCCACATCAGAAAGAATTACTAGAGTTTGACCCTAAAGCCCCCGTCCCGCTAAGTTCCCGTCCCTTACAAACCTAAAATCGTCGAACATCTGTCCGGCCTACGCCAAAAAATGGACGAAGAGGCTCTTCGTGTAGGTTTTTGGTTTATGAATTTTTTTTAATCGAAACAATTTGATTTTTTTTTTATCAAAACAATCTATGATTTCATTACTTTTTTATAGATGGGTGCCGAGATATACGATCATCGATTGTATATCCATTATGGCCCAAGGGATGCGAGTCTCTTAACCGATCAAGAAGCTCATCGCTCCCGTGCTATTTGGGATAACTATCCGGTAATTTTTTGAGTATTCTTGCTTTATTTTATTATTTCCTAAGGTTTTATTTTGCTTTATTTAATCTAATAAATTGTTGTTTTCCCTATTTGTTTTAGGAATCGCTTGTTCCCGTGGTTCATAAAGGGACCAATAACTTGCCCGCTTGGCATCCAAGGTTGGAGCCCTACATAGCGAGGACCGGTTTGGGAATGTTGCGCCATTTCTTGCGGATCGAGATCGACAACGATCTGCTTACGGCAATGGCAGAACGATGGCGTCCCGAAACCCATACATTCCACCTTCCGGAGGGGGAAATGACGATCACCCTCAAAGACGTGGCGATCCTCACCGGGCTTCCTATTTCTGGAGATGCAATCATTGGTTCCACGACCAAACCCGAAGGAGGTTGGGGGCCGCTCATACGTGATCGTTTGGGCTTCGACATGCCGACCACCACACCAATTCAAGGACGGGGGCATCCACCGTTGAATGCGGGGCAAGTGTCGGTCCCGTGGCTGGTATCTCACATCCAGCAAGAGGTGGAAATCAATGACGAGACACCGGAAGAACAAGTCGAGCGCTACGCCCGCATCTACCTCATCGGTTTGGTGGGTGGATTTTTGTTCTCCGACAAGTCCAACCGGTGGATTCAAGGCATATGGTTGCCATTGCTCACTGGTGACTGGGATGCAATTGGAGAGAAGAGTTGGGGATCGGCCGTGCTAGCGGGCGTATACCGGGAACTGTGTACTTGCTCGAAGGTTGGGGCAAAGCAAGCTGGTGCTGCGATGTTCATCCTGCAACTGTGGGTATGGGAGCATCTCCCGATGTTCGCACCTCTCGACCCACGTCCATACCGGAGAAACGATGATGAACTCAACTTTCTGCAAAATCTCCCCTACAGTGTCAAGTAAGTTTATTTCGTACTTAGCCCAATTTAATTTTGATTGCATGCTTAGCTAGATTTAAATTGAATTTATTCCGTACTTAGACCAATTTAATTTTGATTGCATGCTTAGCTAGATTTAAATTTTATTTATTACGTACTTAGACCAATTTAATTTATTATATGCTTAGCTATATTTCAACTAAATTGATTCCGTACTTTTACTTACAAGGTGGATAGGAGCAAATACGAATGACCATCAACCTGAGCATTCGTTATTGTTTTATCGTTCTGAGTTAGATAAACCATGGTGGAATCAGGTAATCATGTTTTGTCCATATATGAACAAGTTAAATTTTGTCAATGTAAATGGTCATTAATTCCGAATTTTTGAATGAATATAGGTTATATGGGATCCATATCCACGTGAAGTGGTTGAGTTGCATCATCTTAGGCACCCTCTGGATCACGAGACGTGGTTGTGCAAGGTGCCATTGATCTGCTGGCACATGGTGGAATGGCACCTACCCGATCGATCTCTGAGGCAATATCGAATGGAGCAACCAATTCCACAAGACCCGCCAGCAGGTTTCAGGGAGCTACATGCCATGGACCTCCGACACACTGCAAAGAACTGGGTGCTAAAGCATGGATTCTACATCAACATCTGGGAGAATCGGTCCCAATGGGTGGTGCAAGGGATGCCGGAGACGAGACCGATGGGCTACCACGATGGGTACATGCAGTGGTATCGGAAGTTCACCATGAGATGGGTGTCAAAGCAAGGTGCTGTGATGGGGTCGTTGGTAAGTCATCCTAATCTCCTTCATTCAAAAATCTATTTATTTTAAGGTTTAGTTAATTTGATATGTGGCGTGCTTTCCTTAGGTTGATGGTTTGGAACACGCCAAGTACACTCTCGAAAGTGCTCCAACCATGGATGAGCGGAAGACTACTTGGTTGACCCGACTTATGAACAACCTCCTAAGTTGTACCAGAGAGCAAAGGAGGGATGTCGTGGCCTATCCTCCCGTTCCTGCCCCGTCACGACCCTCACTCCGTGATGATGCACCCATTGTGCCCCCGGTTGAGCCCCCACGAAGGAGCAAACGCAGGCCTCTGCCTACATTCGATGAGGTGCGTACAACTCAAGAAACCGAGATCCCTGAACCGTTCGAGTACCAGTGGGCACCTACAGCGAAAGCCGGTGGAGGGTCATCGAGTCGTGGAGCATCTCAGGAGTGGGACACTTTCTCTCATGGGTTCTCTCAATTCCAACATCAGCAACAGAGTTCGATGTATCATACCCCTCAACAACAAACTCCGCAACCTCCGATCATTCGCCAAGCTACCGCTCCATCTCAGCCACCACCACCAACATATGTAACCCCAGTTGGGGCTCGGGTCAAGAGAAATCCGCGACCAGCCGTTGAGCGAGCCCGCCAAGAAGCAGCGGCGGAGGGGGGAAGAAGGGGTCGAGGACGTCGTGGAGGACGAGGAGGAAGAGGTGGAGATGGGGGCCAAAATGAAGCAAATGAGTGAATTTATCGTTTTATCCTGCAGTAGTGATCTATCCATGTTGTTTTGGTGCTTTTTAGGTGTTGTTATTTGAGTTTGCATTGTCTAAAAACTATCCTACGCACTTAAGTTGTCGAATGAATTTTCTGGATCATTTTATCAAGAATCAGTATCTTCCCTCAACACGAAAAAGTTGGGAAAATCAACCACG